CAGGATAACTTCCAGGAATGACTTTGGGAGGACTTATTCCCTCTCAATTTTATTAATAAAGTATCATATTAGTGTTAGATCTTTCTGATGCTTTTGTAGAATTTTACATTGAACCCATCCAGGTCTGGGCTTTCCTTAATTGGTAGCTTTTTATTACTGTTTCAATTTCATTGCCTATTATTTAATCATTCAGTGTTTTTAAATCTTCTTGCTTTAGTTTTGGTATTTTATATGTATGTAGTAATACAATCCATTTCTTCTGAATTCTCCAACTTATTAGTGTATAGGTTTGAGAAGTAGTTGGTAATCATCTTTATTTCTGAAGTATCCAATGCGATTTCATTTCTAATTGCATTGATTTGAGTCCCCTGTACCCTCTTTGGTTAGATTGGCAAGGATTTGTTTTGTGTAGTTTTTGAAGAACAAACTTTGTGTTCTTTGTAAATTTTTTTCTGAATTTCATTTATTTTTGTTCTAAGCTTTAGAATTTCCTTCCTTGTACTAGCTTTGTATTTGGATTATTGCTATTTTTCTATGACTTTTTCAGTTATAAACTTCCCTCTTGGGGCTTCTTTTATTGTGTCTCATAAGTTTAGATCTGTTGTACTGGCATTATCATTTAGTTTTACAAATAAACTAATGTTTTCCTTGATATCTTCTGGAACTTGCTTTTATTTAAGGACGTATTGCTTAGTGTCCATGCATTTGCAAATTTCTGTGTTTTCTTTGCTTGTTGATTTCTACTTTCATTATGTGATGATCTGATAATATACATGGCATAATTTTGATTCTTTTGCAATTACTTAAGCATGTTTTATGGAATAGTATATGGTCAGTTTTGGAGACAGTTTCATGTGGTATTGAGAAGAATACATGTTCTGTTGCTAAGTGGTACACTATAAGTCTTTTAAGTTCATTTGTTAGATGGTTTTATCTAAATCTGATATTTCTTTGTTGCTTTTTTTGTCTAGTTCATTTATTTGTGATAGTGGGTATTACGGTTTCTGTCTGGATGTCCCCCAAAGTGCTATGTAGTAACAGGGGGCAGGCTTCTCTGAGGTGGCTGAATCTAGTCTGTGATTGATTCATGGTGCAATGCTGGGATTATGGGTATGAATGCTACACCTATCCTAGGGCAGGTAGCCAGTCTACAGTATAAGAGACAGACAGACTCCTCCTTCCATTCCTTTTGCTGTTTTCCACCACCATGAACTGTTGCCCTCTGCCATGTGTCTTGCTGCTTTGGATCCAGCCAATTATGGACTGAAACCTCTACAAACTGTGAGCTATATAAATCTTCCCCCTTTAACTTTGGGTGTTGAGTATTTTCTCCTAGCAAAGAGAAAAGTAACTAAGAAAGTGGGGTACTGAGGTCCCCCACTACAATTGTGTTTATGCTTATCTGCTGTTTTATGTCTAGTAGTACTTGTTTTATGAAGTTAAGTGTAGCATCCTAGTTCAGGCATATATGTTGATAATTATCAACTCTTCCTGTTGAATTGTTCCCTTAATCAACATGTAGTGACCCTCTTTGCTTCTTTTGATCAATTTTGATCTCCACTTTGAATATAACATAGCTGCAACTGCCTTTTGGGGATTCCTGTTGTGTGGAATATTGCTTTTCCATCACTGGATTTTTAGTCTATGAGTTTATTTTTAGCTAACATTTATTTTCTTTTTATACAACATACTGTTGGATTTTCTTAATCCATTCTGGTGGTTTGTATCTTTTGATTGGAGAATCCATTCATGTTGAGAGTTATTACTGCTATGCATTGAGTTATTCCTGCCATTATCTTATTTTCCTGTTGATAATTTCTTACTTTTCTCTTCTACTTAACTGCTCCCCCTACCTGGTGCATTCATTCTATTAGACCTGAATGTATTATTATCTTCATTTTTTTTTTTTCTAGGATATCCTTGAGAATTTTATGGATAGCTGTTTGGTGGCCATGAACTGCTTTCAGTGCTTTTTTTCATCAAAATAACGAACTTCTTCATCAATTTTGAAAGAAAGATTTGCAGGATATATCAACCTGGATTGAAAATTATTTCTATTTCAATTTGAAGCACTTCACTGCAAGCCCTCCTGGGCTTCAAAGTTTGTGTTGAGAGCTCTGCTAATTTTAATGGATTTCTCTTTATAAGAGGTTCTTTTTTGAGGGGCTGAGGATATAGCTCAGTGTCATAAGTGCCTGCCTGGCAAGTGTAAGGTTGTGAATTCTGTCCCTGCTACCGCACAAAAAAAAAAAAAAAAAAAAAAAAAAAAAAAGAGGTTCTTTTTTATCTCTGATATTTTTGAAGATTCTGTTTCTGTGTAGTATTTCTGGGATTTTGACATGATGTCATGAAGAGGTTCTTTTCTGATTGTGACTATTTGGGGTTCTATGTGCCTCATTCATTTGTATGTTAAATTTATTTCTCTTATTTGGAAATTTTTATTGTATTATAGATATTTCTGTAAACAAGTTTTCCTACCTTTTGTGCTCTGTTCTGATTTTTTTGCTAATTCCAATTAATATTAGTTTTCTTTTTGTCATCTAGTAGTTGTTGGATCTATTTTTAATGTTCTGTTGTTGTTTTTAAGGCACTCTCATTACTTTCAATAAGAAATATTTCTAAAATGGCTTCCGGTTCACAAAACCTAGGTCATTCTTATCAGCAAGTTCATGATTTTCTTTTTGTAAATTAGTAATTTATATTCAGCAATTGCCATATCTTTATGCTGTAAATATAATCAAATGTTATTTATTATCCCCAAAATTTTTATGCTATTCAGAACCACATATTCAGAAACAATGTGTTATTACTATTCACATGTAAATCACCAAGAAGTAAAGATGTTTGGGGCCATACTGTCTCTTCCAGAAAATAATATGGTATAACTGGATAGGGGCACACTCTAAGGCTGACCCCTCAGATTGATTAAGTGGAAAATCAAATAACCTCACTTCTATGAGTTGAACTATGTTCTATTGCACTATAAAGTACTGTGGCAAACATCAGCTTGATGTGATACATTTCTCTCATTTTGTTAGTTTTTTCTTTCATCTGTTTTCATTAAGATTTTAATGCTTTGGTAGCTTTCCATCGTACTAGTCATACTGTGATTAGCAGTAATTAGAAACACCAAAATTAACCTAACTGGCTAGAGATAAAATTGACCTTTCTTTATATAATGAAAATTTCATTGAGTTATTTTTGCCTGCAGAGAAACTGGTGAAAATAAAATACTTCATTAAGAACTGTAACTGATGACGATTTAAATAAGTGGAATACAATCTTATGATGGCAGTAGAAAATTTCCTTATTTTATTATTTTCCCTTTTTTGTCTTAGAGAATTACACTATTTCCCTGAAGTCACACAAGGAATCTCCACTCAAGTGGTTATTTTCATTACCTCTGTCTCTTAAAGTGATTCCATTGTGCTTAGAAAACGTTTTATTTTAAACACTTTCTTCATTCATTTTTACCACAACTATAAAAACTAGATATCATCTTTTATATGTGGAAACAAAGAGTCATAGAAATTAACTTACATCTTTAGTAAGTGGTATTTCTGAGCCTCAAACTGAGATCCGAAAAAAAAAAACAAAACTGAGATCTGAAGACCAACAGTTTTTTAAATGAACCTCTTTCATTGAAATATGCTTTAATATAATGGCTATAAAATGAATTCAGTGTATGTATTCTCTACTTAATACAGAACATTGATCAAAATCACATACTTGTGTTTAAAAAGTTCCTTTTATATGCAGTAATTGCAACAATATCATAAAAACAAAACAGCACAATAAAAATGTAATCACTTTTGTTAAGGTGAAATCACTAATATACCAATCTAATATCACAAAACTCACAGATTTTAAACTATAATTAGAAGGATTTAATGAGATCCAAGTCATAAAATGTGTCCTAAGAGCAAAGTTAAAGGGCAGAAATGAATATTTTCTTTAAAAAGAAATAAAGTCAGTGAATATTTAACAAGAAGAACCTCCCATTTCTATAGCAGTGCTTCCTGTCCAAATGTATGCACCTGAAAAAATTATTTAGGTTATTTGAAGTTTAACACAAAGTGATAAAGCATCATACTGATATCAATTGAAAACCTAAATTACGAGCTATTCTGAAACATAACAATAAATTCCTTGGGATGAGAAGACTTTCAGAAGTACAGCAAGTAAGGAGTGGTAAAATCTATCTCTCCTCTGACTTCTCAGGCACATTAGGCTAATTCCTGAAATAAATCCAGGCAGTTGGTGAGTTACCCTCCCACTCTTGTTACCGAGCCATCTGCAGCCTTAAGCCTAGCTGGCTTCTTTCTTCTTGGTCTTAGTCCTTTCTTTAGTGGCCTTGTGCTTATGGTTCACTTGGGGAATTTATCTATGGTAAGAATGTGCATTTGGAAAGCATTCATTTTTCAAAAGCTTGGATGCAAGGGTCATATATTATATAAATCCTTTGACTCTTTTAACATAGATTCTTTTTTCCTCCTGTGGGTCACAATAAGTCACTCATTTGACGATTTAGTGTTTTCAACATTATTTACTCAGCACTCATTTTATTTGGGCTTTGGAAATGATTGAATTAAGTTGGATAAAGACTTACTTTTGACCCATTTTATTCTAGCCTTTCCTAGAAGCTAAATAGGCTGAAGGGGGAGAAAAGTAAAAACAAAGAAACTTCTCTGCTGAGGTTTTTATTGTGTAATAAGAAATTCAAATGGGAAACATGAGCATATTTGTTTTTAAAAGATTAGGTTTGGGAAACATTTTATTTAGACTTTTAGATGTTATTAAAACAACTGGGTGGCTAGGCTGGGCAGCCTGGCGTGGTGCTGCACACCAGTAATCCCAGCTCTCAGGAGGCTGAGGCAGTAGGACTGTATGAGTTCGAGGCCAGCCTAGGCTAGAAAGTGAGTTCAAGGTCAGACTGAACTACATAGCAAGATCCTGTCTCAAAACAAAAACAAAAACAAAACAAACAACAGAACTGAGCAATGCTTCAAGGAGCAGAACATCTGGGAAGGGAGCTGGGCCAGGCTGAGGACTGTGGGCTGGGTCTCCCTGATGTGTGGCTTGTGCTTTGGACCATGGTGCATACCTATGTGCCTTATGTCATAATTCCTGGGTCCTTCACAGTTGGGGCTGTGCACTACCACCTGGAATGGTATATCAGGAGAAGGACCCCTTCCTTATGGAGGAGGAAGAGTATCTCAGAGTGCCAGGAGAATTGCAGGCTGGATAAAGTGCTAGGCAAGGACCACAGACAGGTGGTGAGTCTTCAGAACAAGGTAGGATTTACCTGTAAAGCTTTCCTGAATAGAAACTGCCCAGAGAATTAATAGAAGACTCAAGACCCTACAGTCAACAGGGCCATAATTGGACTGCTGTGATGCTGACCCAGCCCCAGAACATGCATCTCCCTTGCTGTGTTCTTTCTTCTGGCTCCCTCTGGAACCCACAGTCACACATATTCTGGCTGCTTCTTTATGACCAGGGAGACAGAGGTGCTGCTGAGGAGCTGGTAGAGAGGAAGACTGTATCCCTTGAGCTTTAGCTTGGGAGGGAGGAATGTGACACATGAACATGGGCTTGCTGGGGAGGTAGTTTAGCCTGGAATCTGAGTCTTCCCTTTAGCATGGATAACCACATGTCTAGTTCTAGTTTGCACTGGGAAGAATTCAGATATCTACCCCTTCCCTTGACTAGTTTGCCCTATTCTTTGAGTTGACCTTCTGGGAATGCTGTTGTCAGCTCAGGCATGGGGTTCCCTGGAGAAGGAAAGCACAGGCTGTCGATCTCGGGGCAGGGAGGGACATGTTGCTGGTAATTTGCCTGAAAACAATCACCCCTCATCTCTCACCTGTCATCACTGTGCAGTGAAAACCATATGGCCTCGGAGAACCATATTAATTGAATCCTATCTTTTACATGGCATGTGGGATAGGACAGCAACAGTGTTTAAGGAGTCTTGGGGCTCTGGAAATTTTGTTTCACTAAGTGGTTCTGTGAAACCTGGAGACCCAGATTCCCAAGAGCCTTTTTACCATAAGAGACAACAGGTCTTGTGAAGTCTAAAGTAGACATGTGCATATCCCCAACATTTTCCCTATAGAGAAAGAAATATATGCCCCTTAAAAAGAATTTGGTAAGATTCAAAAAAGGGCACCCACACTCCCAACACTGTAATACAACCACTGTTAAAAATTTGTTGTCTCTTCACTGCTTCCCTGGGTAGTTTTAAAGACAATCACATGATTGTATTTTAAATTTTATTCACATATTATTTCTTAAAATTATTTTTCATCTTATCACCTGGTAATAATTATTTTTAATATCTGCTAAGGAATGCAATACAAGAAAAAATCATTTTTAGAAGTTAAATTTACAAGAACTACCTCACTATGAATATACTCAGCATATATATATATATATATATATATATATATATATATATGTAAATTACTACTGTTAAATAATATTTTGGGCAGATGATTGGATGTTTTCTTCACTGTTAAAATAGAAGTCTCAAATCTTACAGTGCAATTGCAACTTATTTTGAAATAGATTCAGATACTTAATAAATCATTCAATAACTGACCACCTCAGTTTGGTTATTATCACATAGCAATCACAGGTATCATCTATGTGGACTAACTATGGACCCTGTATGTCAAAAGCCCATGCCTTATTTAAACAGGTTAATTTTCCAACAATCCTAAATACAGCTGGAATAACAAATTACTCAAGGTTATGCAGGCAGTAGCTAGAATACATTGCATGCAAGTCTGTTTACAAAGCCCACATTTTTGATTATTCTGTTAAAAAGTCTTTTCAAAATAGCTATTAGAGTTTATATAATTAAGTGCTCTGCTTTTAAACAATATATAGAGTACCTATAACAGTGTTAATGAAGTTATTGGATACATATTTTACATAGTGATAAGAAAATTATGTTCACATGCATCTAGTGAAAACAAAACCTCATGAAACTATCATCTAGTAGACAAGAAAAACAAAAAAATCTTTTCCTCTTTTCCATGGACCCAAAGGTGCATCACCATTTAGGTCTTTCCACCATTCCTTTGTCCCTATGTTTTCATTGTCTAGTAACTCTAACAGCTTCTTTATGGCGGTTGGTCTAAAGTGTACAGACAGCTTTTTGAATATGTTATTAGCAGATTGGCAGGATCTTCACAGTTCATTTGTACATGGACTATGGTACAGTAATAACTTTAAATTGAGCTCTGCAATTTAACCAGATTTACATGGTGGGAATATGTTCTGTACTGCTGTTTATTTTGCTATAGATGTCTGTCTTCCAGTCTGTATGAATTCTCCAAGAGAAGCCCAAATATTACTGATTTTTGGTGATGCATATCTGTAGCTTGGTTTTATTTTAAATTTAAGTAGATATTAGTTTGTACTTCTGAAAGAGATAGAGAATCATGGTAGAAATCGAAAACTGTAAAGAAGAAACCTAACTACCTGTAATAAAAATCAAAAGAAAATGGCAAATTTATTTGGTATAATTTTTCTTCCCATGTTTTTTAAAAAACTATATATATATATATATATATATATATATATATATATATAGGCTTGGGGTATAGTTCAGTGGTACAGCACCTGCTTAGAATGTGTGAGAACACTTTATCCCTGTTCTGAACCAAAGGAAACATGGCTACTGGTGATTTTTGTAAAGGAATGAGGAGCTTAGACTGAAGGTATTTTAATATATAAATAAAGTGATTAACCTACCATTAGTCCTGCATAGTTTATTAAGATGTTAAAATAAAGAAATATTGAGGCTAATTAGTATGCTTTTTTCTCTACTATTGATTGTTTCTGTGACATCTATTAGAGCTATTTTTCTTTAGAAAAAGTGTAAGAAATACTGATTTTCAGAATCAAAACTATGGGTGGTATCTTTGATCAGTGTTCATTATTTGGGGTCAGATAATAAAATGTCTAATTTAATGACTAGAATTTATTGATGTGACCTGGAATTTTACCCTCCTGGAGATAAAAGCAGGTTTTGGCAGGTCTTCTCATGAGTTTTAATTTCAAAAAAGAAATCTTTTGTATTAACTGATATAGAAATTGCTTACTAGTTTAATACATCCACTTGTAGTGACATTACAAAAATTGTTATTTAGGATGTCCTCCAATGTCTTAGTTACTTTTCTCTTCTTGCCAAGACAAAACACTGAATAAACTTAAAGGAGGAAAGGTTTATTATATATAGCTCATAGTTTGTAGATGTGTCAGTTCATAGTTGGCTGGCTGCAAGACAGAGTGGCATGGCAGAGGGGCATCACAGAGGAGAAGCAGTTCATGGTGGGCAGAAGGCAGCAAAGCATGAAAGCATCATTAGAGTAGCAAAGAACTAGCAAGCGACCAGCAGGAAACAAATGGCAACAAGCAACAAGAGCAGGCCTCTCTGTCCCTTGTATCCTATACAGGCTATCGTGAAACACTCACACCCCGGATGGAGAACCCTCAGTGCTAGCATTGCGCCATGATCAACATCACATCCTTACTCCCAGGAGCACATACTCTATAACCTTCAAAAAGCCCCACCTGTGATCCCATGAGGCTTTGGCAGGGTGACAGCTAGATATCACTCATAATACACAACAATTGTTCTATGGAAATAGAAATATTTCCTTTGTGTCTCTTTCATTGCAGTTTGTTTTCCATTGTCTGTTTTTGTGCCCCTAATTAGAAAATTTAATGTGTGTTTCTTTTGAAGACAAGAAGACACCGACATTTTTCCCTTGGAACAATACAGAATTGTTCCAAGAAATGAAGTCAGTCCTTCAGGATATCAATTTGGAAGAAAATTGGCAGGAGCTAATGGAAATTACTATGCTCAGACTGAAAGAGGAATAGTTGGGTTCAGTTTCTTCTTTGGTACAAGAACAGTTATGCAAGTTCCTTGAATAATGTTCTGACAAATTTCATAATTAATATTGGTGGACGTTCCCAATCAGGCTCTGGCATTCAAGTGGTCACATCTAAGATTTTTTTCATCCATAAAATTATGTGACTAAATCACACCCTATGATCGTAAAAGATTGCAAAGGGATAATCAATACTTAAGATGTGGAAAGAAAGCTCACTCTTCAAAAAGAAAAAGAAGCACCTCCTAGCTACAATATGTATTTGTTTGGTATGTGCTCCAAAGGCAGATGAAATATTCATGAGAATTAAGAGGTATAATGCAAAAAGCCATGGGGCTCTGAAAGGAGAAACATTAAGAAAAATTTAAAATCTCTTAAAGTGAAATCAACTTGCCAAAACGAGTTTACTTCTACTTTTTAAATTGCAACATTTGCTTAGCCAGTTCTTTGGATAACAGCTAAAAAGCAAAACAACTTACCTGAAAATGAACTATGATAAAATTGTACTAGTTTAGGTAGCATTCACTCAGATTAAGTTAGACACATTTGGACTTCTCTTTTCCTGTTATTTATAAAGTGTGTATTTGTTAAGCAAACCTAACTTGGCAAAACATCTTAAAGAACCTTCAAGCATGTTTTTGTATATGGTGAATATCTGTTCACACGGATGACCCTCTTCCAATGTTCGCTGGCCTGCTGTTCTTTACCATCCATTGAGGGAGGAGAGCGTGAGACCAGGTAGAAGCAACAGCACAGATTAGAAGTATCCAGTGTTGAATGATTCTGCCCGTGTTAGAAACAGTGATGTATTATCCATCTGAGAGAAAAGGTCATAAGTCTACAGAATACATGCTAAAACTTGCACCTAAAATGTTATCCAGAGAATAACAACTTGAGCTCATCAACAGTGTGCGTAATACTCTTTGGCACACAGTAACTGCTCAGTAAATATCTGAATGAAATGAATGCTCTTCATTTCAATTTATTCATGTTTATTGAGCACTTGTTTAGCAGCAGTTTTACGTGAAAGACTGAGGTTCCTACTCATTTTGAGTTCACACATGTACAAGTTTGATGAAAAGCACAGGTGATAGAAGTTTGGTTTAGATTATTCCAAAAAATGGGTAGGTAACACTATTTTCTCATTTTTTTCTTAATCAAAAGCCTTTGAATAAGTCATTAGTGCTCTGCAATATGCTTCTTTGGCTCGTTTTAATTAGAAGGTAATTTTGTCCTGTCCATCAGACCAACAGTATTTTTAAATAGCTAATTGTGTAATTGCTAATTCATAATAAAGATTTTGGAAATCTGCCTATGTGTTGTAATTCAGAGAAATAATTAAATACATCCCTCAATGCCTAATTTGTCTGAATACTTTTAAAGAAATTAGTCATTAGCTAGGACTGAATGCTAAACTTTAAGTTCCTTTGCTAACA